TGGACTCCCATGTAGTTGACCATGGTTCGAGTCCCGGACCCGGTGGCTTAAACTTACGCCGGGCGCGTGTGCGTGCATGCCCAGGATCCCGAGAGGAGAATGGAGGAGAAGGGATTGCGGCACGGCCATCTCCCCTTGGGGGTGATTTCTCGCTTTCTGTCTCTCTGTCTCTCTCTGTCTTTCTGGCGAGCACACACGCCCTATAGCAAAAACTTCTCAAAAAACAGAAAAAAGAAGAGTATATATAGACTGTACTGTGTCAATTCTAGGATTTTTCCCTCCCCTTTTTACATGCCCAAAAGCATCGTACAGTTGCTGTCTGCCAGGCGGCCGTCAGGCTGCAGTTGTCAGAGCTTGCACATAAGCATCAAAATTTGCAGAACTGGTGTGGACAGCTTGGAAAAATCCCAAGAACAACAGTCGAGCAATCTTTTAAGGAATACTGTGTTCCCAAGGTTTTGATGGCCCAGAATATAAATACTATGTGGATAAACAAGGGCATCAAGACCCTGAGTCCAAAACTGATTCAGAAGAAGTGTTAAACCGAATGAGTCTGAAGAGGCCTTAGGCCTCACATTTTGAGGCAAATAATCCTCTTTTGGAGGTGCACGGAGGAAGGGATGACTGTCCTGTGTATTACAGGATGTTTAGCAGTAAGCCTGGCCTCTACCAACTAGATGCCAATAACATCTGACAAGTTGTGACGGCCACAGATGTCTCCAAACATTGTCAAATGCCTCCTAGAGGTCAAAATCTACCCCCACTGAAAACCATTGTCTTGACTAATTTATTTTGCCTTTTTTTCTCTTTATAAATACTCAACTACTATGTTTAAAAATTCAAAATCAGTGTTAATGAGTTATTTCAATGAGAACATCATAAGACACTACTGTATTAAATACAATTTGAAACAACATTTTCTTGGAGGTACATCCAATACACTAAAATCTTAAAATCAATGACATATTCAACTCAATAAAATTCAGCTTTCCACCATTCATTCCTGTTTTAAAACCCTCACCCTGATTTCTTTTTGGGGAATTACTCCTCACCATGCACAGCTGTAGTAGAATCATGTCATCTCTAGCTAATGATTCTCATATTCCCTTAAATTCTTTGAGGTATCAAATGTATTTCTAAAAATCCCCTTGCTCCCTAAGTCAGCCACAGTTTAGTTTAGCCTTTCAACTAAGGAAATTTAACTGAAACAAGGTCCCTATCTAAGCTATCCTGAGAGAAGACATTTCAGAATCAGCAAGTTCACCAGCCTGTTAAAATGCTACTGCTTCTCACGACTCTCCACATGAGCAGAGAGTACAGGTCTAAATGAAACAAAAATTGTTGGAACTAGGTGCTGGGTTATGGAGATTCACTGTATTCTTATCTGTCTTCGAATAAGCTTCACAATTTCTATAACGAAAAGGCTACAATAAGAGTAAGTACACGCTAAAGAAAAACGTTACAATCAAAATTCCAAAATCCTCTTCAAACACGTTTGTTTGAAACTTATGAGTCTGTGTAAGCTATATGTAAGATATATGTCCAGATCTTAAGAGCCTGGGAACAGGGCTTATAGTTCTGTGTGCATGTGGTGTGAAAAGAGAAAAGGGGACAGGTACAAGTGACAGTACAACAGCAGAAGCCATTTTCTAAAACTCAGTCTTGATTCAATTTAGAAAACAGACACAATAATGTATAAATGCCCTGTGACTCCAAAAAGTTGTTTAATTTTCCTTTCCTTTCCTTTTTTTTTTTTTTTTTAACTCATGATAGAGCACGTGCACACGAAAAGGAGTAAGAAAGAGAGTGGTGCCTGGCATGTTTTAGGCTGACCAGGCTGGAGATTCAAGCCATGGCAGCCAAGTGGGATCTGGCTGCAATATGGAAACAACCCCAAAAGTCCAAAGACTACATTGGGGCCAGCAGACAGTGTCGTGATTAAAGCACTGGACACTCCCACTCCCACAATGGTTCAAGTCCTGGACCTGGTGGCTTGTTTTGTCACTTTCCTTCTCTCTGTGTCTCTCTCTCTGGTCAAATTAAGATAAATGAATGAATAAATAAAATTAAATAAGTAATTATTTAAACAAACACAAAAAAGACTACATGTAAAACTTTCTAAGTGTGTTTGCTAAAGTTTCTTCTTTGGTAGAAAAGAAAGAAAGAAAAACAAATAGCTATTGATTCTTCTAAGAACTATCATACAGATAAACACACACTTTTTGTCAAGATTTGACAGCTGGAAGTTTTCATGAAGGAGGCTTCAAATAAAACATTTTTTAAAAAGAAAAAATAATATAAAGGCTGCGCCACCCTCTGTTCTTCTTAAAGGTGACAGAAAATAAATTCTTTACCAATAGTCACTTGTCCAGGTTACAGCCAGGCTGCCAACCCCATTCCATGTGAGATATGAAATGGGCTCTCACCGGCACCTTTTATTCATCTCATCTGCCCTTTCTCTTTCATGGACCAAGGCAGAGCAAATGGGAGTTGAATAATGAAGGGGAAAAAACCACTAAAGTGAGAGTTATTTTAACAAAAAGCCTGTACCACATGGGGAGAAAGAAAGACCTTAAAAAAAGAAAGAAAAAAAGAAAGAAAAAGAAAATCCTATGTGAAATATAATAAGCAAAGTAAATATGAGTCTAACCAAAAAAAAAAAATCCTTATTAAAATGAAATTCAATTAGGAATAATAAAAATTCAAAGACAAGAAATTCTACCATAACATATTGATTTTCTGTGCTTCTTAATGAAAGTGATCTGAATTTTTTTTTTAATATTTAAACTTCACTATCTAATTATATACTCCATCAACCTAACCCAAATAAATAATTATAAAGTACTAGTGTGGGAACTATTGAAATATATGAAGGCCTTTCTGGCAGTACTAATTACACCTAGATTTTTAAAACCCCAAGCCTTCTCTATTTCCTGAAAAAAAATAGTGGTCTTAATCTAAAACTCATATTCTATTCCATATGTTTTGTACAAATTGGGAGTTATCTTAGCAGTTTGGCAAAAGAGAAGGGATACTAGAGAACATTTTTCAAACCTCTCATTTTAGAGATGAACTATTTAAGGCCCGACAAGGTTAAATCATATGTTGAAGGTCTATGGTTAGTGAAGACTACAATCCAATTCAAAGGTTCTTTACACTTACTTCAATCAAGCAAAAGTTGAACAGTCTAAAGTAAAACAAATACAGACCAAGCATCTACTTGGTGGTATGCATGTGTATTGCACTCCGGTAGAAAGACACTCACGTGATCATATAGTCATTATGCTCTGTGCTATACATACATTTCAAACACAGCCAAATGCAAAGAACTTAACTATCTTGGATTAAGATGTATTTGCAGACCAGCCAGCAGCATGGTGGTTAAGGCAGCTGGATCCCACATGGCCAAATGCACAGTTCAAGTTCCGGAACCACAACTTGAAAAGCATGCCAGGTGCATGTGCGTGCATGCCAAAAATCCCAAGAGAATGGAGGAGAAAAGCCTGAGGTGTGGCCATCTTCCCTGGGGGCTGCTTTCTATCTCATTTTTTTCTCTTTCTCTCTCCCTCTCCTCTCTTTTCTCTCTCTGGTGAGCACACAGAACCTCTAGGAATTTTTTTTAAAAGGTAAATTCACTATTTCTGTAAGTAAGTACATACTTTAAGTCTTTTTTAAAAATAGTACATTTTTTAGGGGCCAGCAGGTGGTGTGGACTCCCACATGACCAACCACTGTTTGAGTTCCAGACGCAGCGGCTTGAAAATCATGCCAAGCACGTGTGCACACATTCCCAAAATCCTAAGAGGAGAATGGAGAAGGGATTGCTGCATAGCCATCCCCACTAGGTGGTGATGTCTCGCTTTCCCTTTCTCTGCCTCTCTCCAGCAAGGCCATTGCCCTGGGGCAAAATCCTAAAAAAAAAAAATTTTAAATAAAATAATTTAAGTAATTTTTACCAAAAAAAATATAATCTGTCATTTTGTGTAGTGTACTTTCTCAGTGTATAACTCTTCAACATCCTTCTAAATCAAAACAAGGATCTCCTCAACTGTCTAGTAATTCACTGTAGACGTGTACCATAATTCGTCCATTCAGTCCTCCAGGATGGTCATTTGGATGGCTATTACAAAACCACCTAAATGAACATTCACTTAGCTGTTAGTATTAATAATGACAACAATAGAATGGAAGTATGTAAAAGATAAAGATCTAAATCAATAAAATGCTTAAGTACGATTATCCCAGGGGAATAGAATTATAGAAGATTTTGATTTTCAACCTTACATATTTCCATAATATTTTAATTTTAAAATGAGTATATCTACTCACTAGTGTTCTTTGTTTACCCAGGCACTGTGTGTGACATATGATATTCATCATTAGCTATAATATTATTTCTTTTAATACTCATAGCAGACAATATGATTTTTAACAAAAGTCCCTGGAGAATCATCAAGTACTACTTTTCACATAGTAAGAAAACAAGGCTCAGTGTCTGTGCAACTATGAATTGTACAAGAGATATACTGATAACTTACAGTCAAGTTTGGGAAGAGGATAACATAAGGCGCTAACAAGCTTAATTCAAAACAAAAAATGACCAGTTTCATATGGTCAGCATATTCTGAAGTCCAGTCATAAAAAAATACCAAGTCTTGAGAACAGGAGTTAGCGTAATGGCTACGTCACTGAACTCCCATGTGGTCAACCGCGGTTTGAGTCCCAGACCTGGTGGCTCAGACTCACGCCAAGTGCGTGCGCGTGCATGCCCAGGATCCCGAGAGTAGAATGGAGGAGAAGGAACTGTGGTGTGGCCATCCCTCTTGAGGAATGATTTCTCACTTTCTGTCTCTTTGTTTCTGGCGAGCACATGCGCCCTATAGCAAAAACCTCTCTCAAAAAAAAAAAAGTCTTATTACAGCCACTGTTCTCTAAAAATATTTGCTAAAACTGAAGTCTACCAAAAACTCTCTCAGATTCTCAGATACCACAAAACTCACCGTTTCTGACTTTCAGATTCTTTCTTGGCTTGCTCCAATGCCAGCTCTTCAGCTACTCTTCTTTTCAAGTCTTCATCAGAAACTAGAATCAATAAAGAGCAGAAGATAAAATAAGTGACTTTTTAAGGGAAAAAAAGGAAAATACTGAAGAAAACAAAGCTGAAACTAGGTCTGAACTGGCCAAGTTCTGCCAGGTGGTCACTGTCTCCTTGGAACTTCCTAAGCACTGTGGAAAAGACCAATTAGTGTACTTCAGGACTAATTTAATCAAATGTTCCCTAGTGACTTAGAAATTTCCACACCTGCCAAAATTTATAATAAACTCAAGGAGCTGCTTACTGCCCAGTGGGGACTGAGCCATTAAGTACAAGTTCTTTAAAATGATGTCCTAACGTTAAAGTCTGACAATCTTATGTAAAGGGAGGAAAGGCTGTAAGGGACTTTAGAAAGGAAAATGACACCAAAACCTTTTTACTTCAATAATTAAACATTTAACAAAATCACTTATTAAAGAGAGAAATCATTTGTATTTACATTCATTTTCCATAATTTATTTTAAAAAACATTTATGATTTATGAAAATTTTGAAACCATATTTTTTTTAATTCATGTCATTCAAGATCAAGTGCTAACAACTAGAGACATAGAATAGTGCTGAGAACACAGCTGGAGCTTTCTAAATACCTGGTGACTTGACTTGAAACATCTGGATATTCCAATTAGAAGACTGTGTGCAATATGTTTTATAAAGATTCTTACAACTAAGATGGTAAATGAAATGGGCAAACTTTAAATAATTTCTTAAGAGCCTTCCATAATAAACAGAGATGATCTCTAGAAACCATCTACCCAAAACTATGACCAAGAAAGCACTAGAAGCACTTGGGAGTATCTAGGACTACCCAGAGAATCTAGAGATTAAATTGTTGAGCCTATTTGATAGAAAACTAGACAGTAATGAAAGACATTTATTTGGTTACCCTTAACATTATAAAATGTTTTTAAAAATCTATTACAGTAAGATACACAAAATGTGTTTTTAAGTATTTAGTTGACATTGGGCAATAGAAAACAAGCTATATGAAAGGTTATAAGGAGATTTTTCTCTTAGAATGTGGACCATCAGAGAGCAAAAACATCAAAGGACACCATAAAGAAGGTGAAAAGACAACCCACAGAATGGGAGAAAGTATTTGCACTCACATATCTTATAAGGGATTTGTACCCAGATTATATAAGTATTCAGAGTATAATATGATAAAGAACTCTTACAGCCAAACAATAAAAAAGGAAAAAACAACTATTAAAAATGGACAAAATATATTAATAGAAATTGCTCCAAAAATATACAAGTGTCCAATAAGTACATGAAATGTTGCTCAATAGCATTAGGTACTAGGGAAATGCAAATTGAAGCTACAACAATATACCATTCCAAACCAACTATTATTAAAAAGACCTGTACCAACTGTTGGTTTAAATATGTAGAGAAACTAGAACCTTAATACATTGCTGGTAAAATGGCACAGCTGGACTGATCAAGGTAGCTCAATCTCCCATGACCAACACTGCAGTTCTAGTCCTAGACCTGGCAGTGTGGAAAACATGTCAGGTGTCTGTGCATCCATGCCCAAGGGAGAAAAGAAGGAAAAGGGATTGCAGCATGACCATATCCCATGGTGGGTGCCTTTTCTCACTGTCTTCCTCTCTCTCTCTTTCTTCCTGGCAAGTGCACATGCCCTCTATCAGATTTTTAAAAAGAAAAAGGCACCGCTAGTGTGGGAAACATACAGTTTGGCAGTTCCTCAAAAATGCCATATAGAGTTAGCCTATGACCCAGAAATTCCATTTAGGTACTGTATATGTGAGAGAATTAAAAACATTATTTCTACACAAAAAGATAACCTAAATGCCCATGGACACATAAACAAAAGGTCTGTCCATTCAGTATATTATTCAGCCATAAAAAAGTAACAAAGTATTTGCCCAGTCATGGTGGCACAAGAAGTCAGGCACTGCTGTGTGGTGCTGGAGCCATATGGAAGCCCCTGGACCAGATCCAAAATCTACCTAAATATATAAGGCACGCCCACATGTCTGTGATCCTACCTGGCTAAGAAGCTGGGGAAAAGACTGATGGCATGGTGAGACCCTGGCTGCATGTCGTTCCCCCTCACCCCCACTCTCCTCCCTCTCCTTCTTTCCCTTCCTCCCTCCCTGTACTCCTCCTTCTCTCTCTCATGAAAAAAGAAATCTAAGAAAGTAATGAAGTACTGATACTTGTTTTAACATGGACTAGCCTTGAAAACATTATGGTAAGTGAAAGAAGTCAAAACACAAAAGGTCACATAGTAAAAATTTCTATTCATATAAAATGTCCAGAACAGGCACATTCATAGACACAAAGAGATTAGCAAATGAGGTGAAAGAAATGGGGAATGCTGGCAAATGAGCAGGGGAATTTCTTTTCGAAGTGTTAAAAATATTCTAAAGTTAGATCATGTGAGGGTTGCACAATTCTACAAATATACTGAAAACCACTGAACTGTACACTTAAAATGAGTGAGTTTCACAATTAAGTGGGGCAGGAAGAATATAATAATAAGGGCACTGGATAGGAAATAGGGAAGGGAGAAAGCACTAGCTCAGGTCTAATCCCAATCTAGGGATCGAGGGAATGTTACTAACTTCTCTGGGCAGCAAGACAGGAACCTTTTCTCAAACGGCTGCTCTCTGGGTTTCCTACCATCTGCGGTACTTGTCTTTTGCTCCTCTCTTACTTCACAGACTACAGCATGAGAAAGATTCACGTTTTTGCTTTGAAAGGTGAAACGAGATCTACAAAAATAGTAGAACAAAGAGTTCTGTTTGTGTTCAATCTCAAGAGTCTTTTCAGTCTTAAAGGTCTTTAAAAATACAAGTAACAGCAGAGAAATTACAGATGGTAATAGCTCAGCAACGAATCTAAATAGTATTTTCTACCAGTCAGATTTTGGATAAATGAGTTAATTTCCTTGAGTTTTGATTCCTTATCCACAACTAGGACACACCAGTGTACTGCCAGCTCTGAAGTCCCAGACTACGTACTACAAAAGATGGTGATTTTCACACTCACCTACTTCTCATGGACAAGTGAAATGTGACACTTTTTTTCATGTTGTACACAGCTGGTAGGTCCAGTAGTAGCAAAAATAGAAACAAATATTTAATCTAATGAGTACTACCTGATCAAACTACACTCAGAAATTTAACATACCAGTTAGGATCAGCACACAACCAAGCTATATATGTAAAATTATGCAGTTTATCCTAGATTTTTCCAAATTTCAACAGCAAGATTTTTCTCAGGCAAAACTTAATCAGATTCTAAATCAAAATCCAACTCAGTTTAGTTCAATTAATTAAAAGCAGGTTTCTGTACGGCCTTGGTATTACCAAGCCTGCAATGAACAGTTTTCTACATGAGCTGTTCTCCTATCTTTCAACTGTTACATTTTTTGGTGGAGGTTGTTTTTGTCTTTCTTGCTTTAATGAGGTATATTTGGCAAATAAATTGTCAATGCTACGTATATTCAAGATGCACAATGTTGTTTTGATAAATGTATGAATTGTGCAATGATTACCACCAAGTAACCCACCAACACCACACAGTTGCCATTTGTACTTGTGTGTGTGTGTTTAATGAAGAAACTTGAAATCCACTCTACAAATTTCAAATAAACGATACATTACTAACTGAAGTCACCAGACCCCCAGAACTTACCTTATAATAAAACTGTAAGCTTTGGCCAACACCTCTCCACTTCCCGATCTCCAGTCCTTGTAACCATCAGTCTACCGTTTTTATTAGTCAAGCATTTGTAGATTCCACATACCAATAAAAACAGAGCATTTGTCTCTGTGTCTAGCTTACTTCACTTAGCATAAAGTCATTATTTTCATAATACATTTTATGTTTGTCACACAGGGGTTTCAACCAGGGGAAAAGCTAACCTCGTCAAGGATCTTTTAGTCGGATGTGATCAACCAAAAAAGGAACAGTGGACTCCGTTACCAAGCGAGAACAGGTGGGTGGGCGAGAAAGAAGGTCCACAGCTGAGAGGAGGACATGGGGAGAGGCACTGCAGCTGAGAGGCCTGTCTTTTCTTTCTACCCTTCTGTCTACCAAAAAGGCCTTGCCACATGCTGTGTGAGGGAATGAGAATCAGATGCAGGTCACCCACTGATGCTATCATCTAGGTATCATCCCTGAGGGGAGGGACAAAGGTGGGAAGAGGAAAGCTCCAGTCCTGAACAAGGGCAGGAGGGGCCCATGTGGGGGAAGAAGTACAAGGTGATGCTTGGTGAGGTTGACCCCTTGGGGGAAGTTTCAGGTTCACATTCAGAGACCTAAGATCCAGGTCTACCTGCAACTGGGGGTGGGAAATGGCATCGGGACCCTCCTGAGAGTGATGTCTCTCTACCTCTCTGTCTCTTTCACTTCTATGAAATAAATTAAAACCTTAAAGTGGAGGCAGGAAATTTCTAGTGGCCACTGAAAAACAGTATACTCAAGTAACCAGGTGCTTGACACCACTTTTAGTCAGTAAAAGGACCAAAGTATAGCTATCTTTCTAATGCCCAGTTCCCAGAAAAGAAAAAATGAAAAAAAATAAAATAAAATAACTTTTGGATCTCAAATCCAAGGTCACAACTGAAAGAGTAATTACTTCAGCTACAATTGGGAATTTAAAATAACAAAAGACAAAGCATGACCCAGCATAAAGAGTTTAAAATCAAAAATAGCAAATCAAAGCACAGGCAGGAAAATAAACCAGTGTGGTAATAGTTTCTGAGCAAATCTAAGCTTCCTGTTATTTGTTTTTAAATCAATAGAATACAAAGGCAACAATATATTTCTTCTTATAGGTCTGATCCATAGTGCATATGGGAAAAAAGTACACCATTTGGAGACCACTATTTAAAATGGCCTTTCTGAAAACGCTCTTTTCAGTTCTCAAGATCTGAACATTTTCTCAAATAAAACTGTTATTAAACTAAAAGGTCAGTGTTTCGGGCTGGGCTACTCTAAGAGAAGCACAG